TACAACGGAGTTTCTAGGCTATACAAAGAGTAGTGGTGATTTTTGTGGTGACAGTGGTTGGAAAGCCTCATATGGGAACCTTCAGTGCAGTGCATTATTGCATTACCTGACAAAAGTACCTCACAGCTTCAGTTCATTCTTATGAACTTATGTTTTTTTGCCATGTCTTTTTTAGGACTAGGATCTCATTGTGTTAACACTGGGATGAAACAGGTGACCTATGCCCCATATAACTTAGAAAACATGTATAAGATAAAAGGCAAATGATGTGTGCACRTGGAGTGTGAAACTGCTGGTCAGTGTAAAAGAAAAAATGGTGTCAGCATCCTGGCAGCTTAGTGCTTCCAGTCTTGTAYKCAGTGCCAGGAARAGAAATCATGGAGAACAGTGAAAGRGCTTTGTGGAGCTCTCCCAGTGAGGAGTGTACAGAACAAAACATAGGAATGTTTCAGCATATAATAGGAGAGCAGTAGAAGCAGACTTGGAAAAAGAAGCTGACTGCTTAATACTGAGTGAARTTTGACTGAGGAACATCTTGAAGGGCTTTAAATCAGAAAATAATTTGTAATGTAAAAGAGGGAACCAGCAGCAGAATTGACAATGTCTTCTAAAATAAACACATAAAATAGAATTTATTGATCAGTAATCAATACATAACTGTATGAGTTCCACAGAAAATGTTYAATTTGCATTTGACTGCAGTTAAGCAATTAACAAGGATGGCAAATTATTTKATAAATAACTGTTTCTGCAATTAAGCAGACTTAAAATAGCATCTGTGTATCTTTTTTAAATTACTTTTTGCATTGACCCAAGAATGAAAAAAACTTTTTTTAGTAAGGAATGGGAGATAAGATTGATTCCTTAATGTCTTTGTGCTTTTAGTATCTCCCTCATGAATCTTGCCTATTCAGTAGGTTAAAAGTAAAAGTTAATAGAAAGTAAGCACTTGGGAGTGAGCCTTCCATCTCTCAGATTGTATTTTAAGAACGATCGCACCCCCTAGAATGGGGAAGGGGACTGCTAGAGATGATCTGATTTTACACAGTAGCCCAAGATCAGACAAATTTGTGCTTTTACTGTGATTGACCACAGAACACTTAATCTGTGTAGCAGAGATTTTGGGGCTGAGCTGTGCTCTGCAGAGRTGCAAGGAGATGAGACAGAAAGGTGCCCTTTTATATGCTGAGTCTGGTGCCCTTTTATACCAAGTTAGCTAAATTGAGCTAATAAGCACATGGGAAAGGGATCTCCTGTTTGTTAGTAAGTGCTGGTAGTAGGGCACTGACAGCATGCCCTCCTCATGTGCATTGAAYTGATGTCCAGAGTAGACTGGGCCASCTTTCGCTTTGTTCTGACTCCAGGTGGATTCCTATAAACAAAAAAAGTCCTAAAGAGTTGTCTTTCTTGGATATGCTAATGCAACAGCTAGTATTTCTGAATATTATTTTAAAATAGACTCTTATTTTAAGAGTGAGARTTCTGAGGAGTAAGACTGTCTAAATGTGTTAAAGGAAACTTTTTTCTCTTCAACACATCACCCCAAGCTTTTTCATTTTCTCTCACTGATACTTTAAACTGTGCCTGTTTATTTGATGGGCCTTCACGTATGTATGTTTTCAGTGGTGAATTTAAGTATAATTTTATCTAATTATATTACAGGTGTTCCTCTGCATTCTTTGAGGAAGAGAGGTCAGCATTAAAACAGAAACGGCAGAAAATAAGACTTTTGCAGCAGCGGAAAGTTGCAGATCTTTCACAGTTCAAAGATCTTCCAGAAGAAATTCCATTACCACTTGTAATAGGAACAAAAGTTACAGGTAATTTCTTAAAAACAAACAAAAAAGCAGCTAAATGTGTTTTGTAAAGATTTCAGTAAGCCATAATACACTTAGTGCACATAATTATAATAAATACAAACCATYRAAAATATGGGTTTTTGTTARTTCATTGAGAAGGTGCTTGTGAAGATTAGGTAGTATTTTTTAAAACGGTGATAAGGTTCTGAGGTGCAAACTTAGTATGGCTTATTATTTCTGCTGTTCAGATTTTAGGGGTTCTTGTATATCTAATTTTAAAGAGAAGTAAATGGTTAATTGCAAAATACTGAGGGTTGTCTGAGTTTAAAATCTGACCTAATATAAAACTTGAATTTGATTTTTCCATAAATATTAAACTGTCTGTTTTGAAACAGATGTGCAGTTGATATTGCAGTGTAATCGGACACATTTGGCAAACATTATATTGCCTTACTAAAAAAGCTTACACATAGCTGAGAAAGGAATATTGTTATAAATATTCCACGTTTTGTCTAGTTTTATGAAAATTTGAATTCCTTCCTCCTGTGTGAGTATGGTTCAGGTACTTTTCACTTCAGCATCTCCCATCCAGGCCACTACTGTTTGTTGCACTCTTTGTGCTCGACAACACTGCGCTTAGTTCTTGCTGAAGAGCAGGTTCTGCTGAAGAGCAGGCACCTTACTGCCTCTCCTCACTCTCCTAGACCTGTATCCTTGAGTTGCTTTCCACACTGTCTTTTGCTAAATATGCAATCATCAGAGGAGGTGTTTAGAAATAAATGCTGTGCAAAATCATCTGGAAATTTACTTTTGCCTTCATGATATCTGTCAGAGGTATTGGGTATGAAATAGTAGGAGTTTCTTAGACATAAGTATAGTGCCAAGGATTAGATTTGGGAAATATTTGACCTGAAAACTTAAATTTTGTGAGAAGTTGGTAGTATTTCTATTACATACTTTTTTTCCTGGATTTGCCCTTCTTTTTAATATAATCTGTGGGCTTWAAATATACATACAAAGCATTACTTGCAAAAGATGTAATAACTCTGGTTTTGTTGATTGTGTCATAGCATTGTAATGTTTGGTTTCTTGGTTCTTTCGTTGGTTTTTTTTTAGCACGTTTGCGAGGTGTCCATGATGGTCTGTTCACTGGACAAATAGATGCTGTAGACACTCTTAATGCTACCTACAGAGTGACTTTTGATAGGGCAGGTCTTGGAACACACACCGTCCCAGATTATGAAGTTCTTGTAAGTATTAATGACACATTCTAAAAGTAGCTACAATAAGAAAATGCAATAAAAAAAAATCCACAATTATGTGCTTTAATCAAAAATAAGAAAATTGAAAATATTTCATCCAGGTGGTATTGTCATGAAGTAGAAATAAAWGTTACAGATGTATGGGAAATTCCAGGATAATCAGCTTCTACTGTTTATGGTTTTACAGAACAGGATAAGCCTCTATGATTAAATCATAATGGCTCAGGCTAGAATAATTTACTAGACCAACTATTATAAGCTGTTATAATTGTCTGAGTCCAGTATGAAGAAATACAATGAGTAATATAAGATTCCAAAGAAAATTCTGCAATGGAATCCTCCAAATATTTGCAGAAAATGTTMAAAAAAACCTGGCCCTTTGTGATTTGCCAAAGTCAGGAAAGGCCTGTGGAAGTATTAAGAGTTGCTTGAACTTGATTTTGAAATTCCTTGTGCTAATGAAGCTACCAGGAGGATGTTGTTTTGGTCAAATAATTATGGAGATTATTTCCCAGCTCCTAGCCCTTTTTCCTGCCAGACAATTCAGCCTAGACTGCAAGCTTTTTGGAGGACCTCACTTCCTTTTGTATCTTGTGTAGTGTTAGATCTACACAATTCCTCCAGTCTCTGTCATGATCTGAGTTTGGAATCTCTGCTGAACTCCTGCACAGTTGTGATTTGTCTGCCAATAGTATTTTTGGAAATCTTCATGCAGGTTTTATTTGTTGTGATGCCAGAATACTTTGAAAACTCCAGCAATACACTAGGATTTTCAAACTCTTGCCTAGACCAAAAGCAAAATGTTCATCTTTTCATGCKGTTGGGCATGGCTAGTCCAGGTTCCAGAAATAAATTATATATTCCAAAAGGGTAAAAATTAGTCAAAMACTGAAGCATATCCTTCCTTTTCATGTCTGACAGAGTAATGAGCCCCATGAAACCATGCCAATTGCTGCCTTTGGGCAGAAACAACGGCCTTCGCGCTTCTTCATGACTCCTCCCCGATTGCCATACACACCTTCACTCCAGTCGCCAATCACAGTAAGTTACTTCCTTCATGTAGCATTAATCACTAAAGTACTTTTGATACATGTTGAAGCTGTTACTTTCAACAGTTTTTGTGATTAATTTTCTGAGGTTATTTAGCAAGATAAAAATTTTAGCAGAGCTCTTTAAGAAGAAGCTGTTAATTTAGATGTTTTATCTTTTWTAGGACAGTGATCCTTTATTAGGACAATCTTCATGGAAAAACAAAATTTCAGGTACAGATAGTGAAACACTAGGAGGCTTTCCAGTAGAATTCCTCATTCAAGTGGTAAGTGTTAACTGCAGCTTTTAATTTTGTTGGTTTTGTCCTTTTGTGCTTTTTCTGYCTATTTTTCTACAGTTAAATTATCTTCTGTTTATTTATCACAGATATGGTAATGTCCAGATTAACTTTTGAAGAGATGTAAATTTTTTTTTATTCCCCTCTTCTTAATTTTCTCACTTGTTTATAACCTTTGCAATGTGCTGCTTTTCAGACCACAGAGATCTTCAGAAGTGTCTTATTTTCCCAGCTCTACCATTTTGTCTTAAAAAAAAAATTCCACATGCAAACTTCAAGACTTTTTTATTTATTTAAAATAGGCTTGCTTTGTGCAAAGGACAGTTGTGCATTATTATCTATTGTCTAATACTGTATTTTATGTTATGTAATGTTCTACCCTCATGGAGAAGAAAAGCAGCTCTCATTTCCATGCAAGTAAACATACATGTTACAGATAACACTACATAGGTGGAGACAAAAACCTGTTTTCTTTATGAAATAATTCCGCAGTTGTTTCTCTTCTTCCGCAGAAGAGCACAGACATGTAATGTTAGGAAGCTGAGGTTCACTGAATATTAAAACACTTTGAAGCATTTTCCAGGATGATGTAAGAATGTAATTGCTCATGTTGGCTTAGYTTAAGATCAATGATTGAAGTCTTTAACAAGGAAAGCAATTTTGAACAWGCCAAAGGAGATTGGAATGATTCATGTTTAAAATATTGAGAACTGAGAAATAGTATTACAAATGTCTCTCAAATTTTGAAGTCTGTGTAATTGGTCAAAAGAATAAATTTGTGTCAGTAGCTCAYGTGACACACTAACATTTGGGCCATTCAGCATAATGAATTTTATTTGACAGAATTATCTATTCCCTTTTTTTAGAGGAAACTTGTATGAAGCTCTTTTTGAAAAAGGTGGCTTGGCATCTAGCTAAGCTAAGAAAATTTAAAATAGACATAGTTGCTATAGMGTTAATTATGGTAATGTTGAATGAACAAAAGATAGTCTTTATGCAGCTAAACTGTGTCTGCAGCTGTCCTCCTATATGAGTCACAGAGTATGATCAGTGAAACTRGGTAACTAAGGTGTATTGAGCTTTGCAATTACTTAATGCAACAAATTGATCTGTTTATGATACTGTTTCTATATTTCAAATATGAAAACATGCAATTAGTCAAGTTTGGTTGTATATTACTGCTCAGTATAAGGAGCAGTATACATATTTACAAGTATAAGCCTCTTACTTGTATTGCAAGTGGTGGCATTTTACAAAGATACCACAACAATACGTATTTTTGCTTGAAGATTTTTAAAATGCATAGTACAAAATTGATCCACAGACTTTTGACACTTGTTCATGTGAGCAACAACAAAAAATTGCCAGATTTAAATATTATGGAAGGACTTGAAGCATTATTTTTAAGCATCAATTTTTTTATTAGCAGTGTGAGGAGGTACTGAAATTTGGTGTTGTGAAATACATGAGACTGGTGAATGCTGATTATTGATTATGCTGTATTCACCAGTCCATATGTATTTTTATGTTAAAGTTTACTTCCTGCTCAGGATGTTCTAGCCTTTCTGATACACTGGTACTTTTAAAAAGTCAAAGCCCTGGTTTAATGGTGATTCAGGAAATAAATGATCTGAAGATGTTTGATTCCAGGAGAACTTTCTGGGGAACTATTRCCAGGCAGTTATTTATAAGACCACAAAGAAATAATTTTATGGGAAGAATTTTGAACAAAACAGAAAATACACAGCACACCTTAGATAWGGTTTCAAACCAGCCCCTTGTTTCTCTTTTATGGATTCTGAAATTAATTTGGAAGAAAAGGAAAATAACATGCTGACAATGGCAAATAAATGTTAGTGGATATTCTCTTTACCTATAACTTTCAGTTGTTTGCAAACACTGAGACTTGTTACAACTATTTTCATCGTTGTTCTACCCTGTCGTAGTKTTTTGTAATCTTTATATTAATTACTACTTGTTATATTTTGACATCTGAAACTGTGTATTAGAAGACTGGCTCAAAAATTAACATGATATTAGGAATAAAGCAATAAATGAGTAATAGATTTTTAAAAATCTTTCATGCTTAATTCATTATGTATGTATCTTTAAATATTTCATATGCTATATGGCAGGTCAAAATCGATAGATTGCATTCATACATTCTAACCAGTATTGAAATCTGGAGTATGTTTTTCCAAGCATTCAGCTGCAGCTTTTTTTATTTTCCTTCCTCCCCGCTTCCTTTTTCGGTTTGGGGTAAAAAATTCGATTGGAAGGCAGCATTGTAGACAAAGCAGATGTTGGCAGGGCCGCTGTGTGCCCGGTAGAGGGAGTGTGGTGATGCAGCACGGGTAGAGTAGTGACCTGCTGGCTGCATGTGGGGAAAGGAAGGATCTTCCCAACTTAARTGCAGGAGGATCAATCTGAAAAYGGATACTCGATTTTTGACTGTTTTYTTGCTTATGAAAATTCTGAAAATRTATTCACACTTCACTTTGAAATGTTCATATTTTCTGACTAACAGATTAAATCGGAAATAAAAATCTAAGCATTCTGGTTGGGTTGTTCTTTCATTTCTTTTAATGTGGAACAGAATTGTTAGAAAAACATGTTTCTAGTTTATTGAGAACTATAAATTGCGACAGTAAACAGGATGAGTTATGTTGAAAATAGAGCTGTTAGGCAAGAACTTCTCAAGACAAATAGGGCTAGACAGAATTACAGCATTCACTGATGATAATGGTAAATGAAAATGTAGGTCTGTGTAATCAAATGTACCCATGAGAGAAAGTTGGTGGACATGATAGAAACAGTGAAAGTCAGATTATCTTGATCACTGGCATATATCTGGGAATAGAATGAATATGATAGAAAATCCAAGTTCATCAAAGAGAAGTGGAGCTGTGCATCCTCAAATATGTCTGCACATCAAAGCAGAAGTTAGGAATCAAATGCCTTGCAAATTCGGGGAACAAGTGATAYATTCTGCATTAATTTGGGGACTCAGCAACTACATGAAGGAGAAGAATGTGTTAGGYAGTTGCTGGATGGTGGTGACAGCAAGCTTGACAAGTAACTTTCTGGCAGCAGTGGCAGATGGTGTACAGTGCTTTTCTTCCTCCCAGGTGTTTTATTGGCAACATGAGCACTTGTGTGGTGTGTTAGAAACTAGATCAGATAGATAATCCAGCTCACAAGTAACAATTTTAAACCTCTTCTTCCTTGCCCCTTCTGAATTTTTGTCATTATGTYTTTTGTGATTGGGTTCTTCATGCAAAATGCAAAGAGCAAAAATGCAAGTGCTGGCTCAGCACAGGCACTGGGGGACAGCACAAGGACCGAAATGAGCAGCTGGAATTGGAGGCTGATAACCCATGCAGTATTGCCTCCGTGCCTCTGACCATGGCTTACCATCTGTTCGTAAGATGCATCTGGCAAAATATTTGGAGAGGAGAGAGAGAAGTGCCATTAGTGCCATTTTAYAGGTTTAGTTTACAGGTGTGCCTTTTAGAATTTTGTTATAGGCTTCCTGTGCTTACACCAGTAAAGATGGCAGTGAATGGAAAAAAGATACAAAAAAGGCCACTAAAGTTCAAGAGATGAAAAGTCCTTCATGGGAGTGGAGTCTGGAAAGGCTCAGTTTGTGATTAGTTTAGYGGAAAAACAGTGGAGAAGAAATGCTTTTATTGTCTCTGAATAAACAAGGATAAATACAAGGAAAGAACATGATATTTAGATGAAAAACAGCTTTGGCTGTTTGGCAGTATGGAACAAATTGCTATGAAGTGTAAAAGAATGCATTTAACATGGAAATTCCCAGAATAGTCTTCATTAGCTGAAAGAGATCCTGGAATAATTTTCTAGTTACAATTTGTGAGGGCAAACAACATGCCTGCATWAAAACTGAACTTAAAAATCACAAAGGAGGTTATATATAAATCAGATGTATGTTGGACTAGAAATCCCTATTTCTACCAGTCACATGTTTCACTACTAGGATGCAGTTAACCCCTCTAGAATTCAGAAAACCTGAAATTTTGGCTATGTTTACATCGGTAATAGAAGTGTTGCTGGTTGCAGAGGAGCTAGSATTTCTCTCAGGGCTTTAGAGTATGCACAGTTTTAGGAGTGAGATGTGTGTGTTGAGAGTGGTCCCAGTGATTTCCACTTCAGTCTGCTGGGTCCCAGGGGCAGGAGAAGCAGGATATTCCCATTATGAAAGAGGGAAATGGAAAGCCCAGAGTTGTTCTGTATAAAATAGATCCAATCTGTATACCAGATTTTACTGCAGGAGTTTACACAAAGAGCTGGTGCTCAATTGAGGGCACAGCTGAGAACTGTGTGAAAAAAAAAGGTGTGGTAGGGTGAGTGGTGCGAAACATAGCGTCATGACCATAACACCCTTTGCTCTCCTTCAACCTGTAAAAAAAAAGGTTCTTCAGCCTCTAGGTGGCCAAAAATTATATTAGTCTTCCTGTAGGGAATTGCAACTGATGGAATTTAGCACTCATCAATTTAGGGCACTTGGAAATGCTTTAAAAACCTCTRGAAAACCCATCATTTAATTTTAATTACTTTTTATTTCTGCATCTTAACTTGATCARCAACTGAGAATTACATTTTAAATTATGAAAGAAACATGTATTTTTTTATCTTGAATTTCTGTGGCATTTCAAAACTGCTTAAGGACTTATTCATTCTAAAAACATTTCCTTTGTTTTAGACCAGGTTATCGAAAATCCTTATGATCAAGAAGGAACACATCAAACAATTGAGAGAGATGAATACAGAAGCAGAAAAGCTGGTGAGAATGTTCTCTTTTCAGTTCTTAAAGCAGGATATGCTTTAACAATTAGTGCAAATAAATACAATTAGGAGGAGAGTCTACAWAAAATCTGTATTTTATTGCTTTCTAGAACATGAAATGTCTTATTTTTAAAGACAAGTTAGAGARTCATTTGTTTCAAATATGATTCTCCTTTGAAAGTGTTATGCTTTGGAAACTGATTAGTGGTAACAACGGGATAGCACATGTCAGTTAACACATAAAATAGGGAAATACTAAGTACTTTGAGAATTTGAGGTACAAGTTTATATGGTAAGACATTTATGATAATACTCTTGCAGATGATAGATACTTATTTTCTAAGYTTTCTGGTTAAAGCAGTTATTCATTTCAGAGATTTTCTGTGTAAAGCTCTGAGTGGCCTTGACTGGCATTTAAAGTTACAGTATCAGAACAGTAACAACATAATTAGCAGCAGCAGAATAATTTTTTCTTGACAACTAATCAGCAGTCRGTAAATCAAAATAATAAGAGTGGCTCTTCTACCACCCATGGCCATAAATTGAATTGAAAGCAGAAAGCTCTCAGTCTCACCCTTCTGCCAGCATCCATCCAGGCTGTTGTCTTTGCAGCACACAGAAGGCCAAAGTTTTGTGGAGAGGAAGAGGGGTCCCTTTTATTTCTTGAAACAAAACAGTTTATTTTTTAATGTAAAATATTTGAATGTTGAAAGATTTATTGTGGGAAGATTTCTTTGTGCCTTCAATGATGATGTGCCCCTGTGTGTTCTGTTACTCTCTTCCTACTGCTCCATCCCTATGTCTCTGTCATTTTCTTCTTCTGTGCCATGGTGTTCTTCAAAACCTTGTTATCATTTCAGTTACTACATCATTTTTCCTGAATATCAAATGTTTTGTCTTTTAATTCTGTCTAGTAATAAACTAGATGCAAAAAGAAGTAAGATTAAAACATATCATTGTAACCTTTAATTCTGATAACGAAAAATTACCAACTCTTTGTAAAATAAACTGATTTTTCTTTCTAAGATATTAGTACTTTTGCATAGATAAGGAGATTGATAGGAYTGACAGTAGCCTTCCTCTAGCAAGAACCCAAATGTTAGCTCAGTTACTRAGTCATAAATAACTGAATTGTTATTTTTCTTGGTCTTCGTATTCTACAAAATTGAGGGAACAAAAAAGCAGCTGGGAAGGGAATCTGGAAATAGATGCTAAAATTGATACATTTTAGCTCAATTGTAACCTGGATAAAGACTTTGAGATACTTYWMAATTCTTCCCTGCTCTATTTCCTTTGTGAACCAACAATCATAAAGCAACCTTCATTAGTATTAAAGACAGTCCTGATAAAAATAGAGGATGTGATACCTTCCTATTGGGCCATATTCTTAGCCTGTCTTCTAATCCTCTTTGTCCCTTGGCAATCCCATCGACATTTATGCAGCTGAGTATGTGTTGCTTCTCCTCTAAAACATATTTTTTTTAAAACAAGAATCTTTTTCTGGCCCCAGTTCACTTCAACATCCATAAAATAGCTGAACATGAATAAAATTKAATCCTTTWGGTTCATTCAGATGTACTTTGAATWCARAAGTCAAACTTTGGTAATAATTCATACAATTGTCATTTGATAATTGTTACAGTAGCGCTGCTGTTTGCTTTAAAAAGTACTCATTTTATGAAGACTTCTGTTTAATGACTGATTTGATATAGAGATACATGGGACTGACCAAAATCAGAACTGATACTGAATRTAGTCCTTTATTATCTGACAATAATAATGAATTTACATGAGTCAGGGGGTGTCTTCACAGGAGCTACTAATGTATATAACTGCACATTTTTTGTCTCATTTCTCTTGACATCACTATACTAGCCTGGGTTGCAGGCTATAAACAAATTAATGTGTACATAAATTTGCTATAAACAAATTAATGTGTACATATATTTGGATAAACAAATATAAAGAAAAAGGACGTGCAATAAAAACAATGCAAAGGTAATTCTGGTTGTCTCAGAGAAGCATCCAGAACCTTGGTGGCAGAGGTGTTACCTGCTTCCRTCTACTGAAAGCCATCCATCTTTTGTCTGCCAGTTTAACTGYTGGTCAGTGTTTCAGATATCAGGTTGTGTCCAGGTCAGAAAAAGTACTGCTATCAAGAAATATTTCTTTTGCTATCACTAGYATAGAATGCTCTTAGCTTTTCCTCYCCAAYTGGGAATTCACAATTGTCTGCAGCTTTCCCAGCTGACCTGGGGTAGTTCAGTGTGCTCTAGGGAATCTGGTCACTGGGAAGGTCTGAAAGTTAAGTTTCTTTATGTTCCAGAGCTGCAGAAAGTGTGTCAAACTTACGCTGCTTTCCAGTGAGTTCTGAAATTATGGTGTTWATTTACAGACCTGTTAAGTTGGTATTCAGATTTGTAAATCTCTGGAGATCATCTCAGTGATTAAGTTTAATGGGGAACTTTGAACTGAATTCATACCTGATACCTTTTGAATTTTTGACCAGGATCTTCCTGACGAAGGCTCTTGATTTTGCAATTTGCTTTATCTTGTGGTATGGAAACTATASCTGTAAGTTTTGATTGTATTGAGGTACYTGTATCTCAGTCTTGTGGCTGGAAYGATGTCCAGCTTCTCTTGCAAGAGGCAATTTGTAGAGGACATTCTGTAATATACTCAAGGTTTTGTTTCAATTTCATAAATATCACCCAAACAATGTCAAGCTACAAAAAGTGTAAGAAAAAAAAGGTACTGTATTTTGGTATTTATTATTTTGTGGGAAATCATGCTAACAAAATATAGTTACCAAATACAAGCTCTAGTAAGTTTCTTTTTGGGAGAATTGTTAGCTGTAGCAGAAGGTGTGTAGCACTGAGTCATCCTAAAGTGACCAATAATGTACTCGCCAAWTGTGCCTCCTCTGCTGCAGCAGAGGTGGTTGAGGCCATGTTGTCCTGTACTGTTCCTCTGTTGACAGGATAGTTTTCTACTCAACCAATGAGAGAAGCCATGTTCAGCTACTGGAGAAATAAGCAGGTCAGACCAGTCATCTTCTGTAGCATTTACCACCATAGATTATTGTAGTACTTGAAGAAGAGAATGGTTGCTACCTACACAGTTCTGCTGGGAGTTATAAATAGTAATACTGCATTTTAATATTTTGTATGTTAATGCTTTTCTGTTTGACACTGGAATTTCAAGTACCTCAGTATTGTTTCCAACTAAAAACTCATTTTGACAAGGTCAAAATCTGTAACTGTACAGTATTGCATTAACTTTGATATGCTTTATGTTTTCCACAGAAATCCTATTCCATGCCAATAGGCATTGAATTTCAGAGGAGATATGCAACTATTGTTCTAGATCTAGARCAGCTAAACAAAGACTTAAATAAAGTATTGCATAAAGTTCAACAGTATTGTTACGAGGTAAGWTTTTTCTGGAATCTCTGTGTACTTGATGGTTTTGCTTAACCTAAATAGAAAACAGAATATCTTGGGAACAGGGTGTAGGTGAGGGCCACTCTGAAATGAAACTATTGGTAGCTATATTGTATTCCTTCTCTCTGTCTGCCTTTAGCAGTCTTTAGCAACAGGCACTTGTCCTGATTACCAGTGGCCTGTTCTTAAGTAGACATACAGAAAGAAAAAATACTGTGTATTAAATAGACAAACTYCCTTGGAAATCACTTCATTTCACACATCCACCAAATGCAAAGGATATCTTTATTYTTCATTTTTCCCCATTATATCTGTGCAGCTTGCTCCTGACCAGGGCCTCCAGCCTGCTGACCAGCCCACGGATCTGAGGCGCAGATGTGAAGAGGAAGCTCAGGAGGTYGTCAGACAAGCAAATACCTCATCAACGGGACAACTCTGTGTGGAGAGTGAAAATTTAACTGATCTTATCTCTAGACTTACAGCAATATTACTGCAAATCAAGGTAAAAAGTTTGCATGAAATAGCTTCTCTCATACAGCACATTGTATTAAAGCTCTGCCAGTTTTTGTRCTGAACTGTGGGAACATTTTTGTTTTCTTCTTCTACAGTGTCTAGCAGAAGGAGGTGATCTGAATTCCTTTGAATTTAAATCACTAACAGATTCATTAAACGACATTAAGAATTCAATAGACTCCTCAAATATCAGGTATTACTTTTTGAATATTTAATTCTTAATTACACACTTTGTGACAGCAGGCAGTTCTTACTGTATTTTAGAGGTGAACATTGATTATAATTAAGGGGTTTAATCTGGTAACTTCTACTTATAGGAAGGGTCCCATCTAAAAGGGGGCCTTCTTAAAGGGAATGTGAAATGAGCAGTTTTCTGTTTGAACTGAAGTGACATGCTAAGAAAAAAAAAAGTTTAAAAATGCTAAATGGATGCAGTGACAACTAGATTTTCTTGTTCTTTAATAATTTATGACAACTAAAAACTTATTTTAGAACATTGTCAGATTTTGAAATCCCACTAGTGATAAAAGTTTTTTAAACCAGAGAACAGTACAATTTCAATCTTCTTTTAGCATATTCAGTGTCTTGTCTGTAAATATCAAAAGGTGGCATATGAGACAATTAGATGTTCTGAGCAGCTTCCATTGGCAAGTTTCTAAACCAAGAAACAGAAGATTAGCCATATTGTGCCAGATCAAAGGCCAGTCTAGTCAAGATGGGACATTTTTCAGCAGTTGTCACAAGCAGGTGCYTGAGGAGGCATCATAAAAATAGCAAGAATGTGGTCTCAAGAACATAGTGATACTTGTCTGGATTACCCTGCAGCCTCCAGCAATTTGTGACCAGCATTTTTAAAATAATTATAATGATGCTAGACCATTTAGAAAATAAACTGAAATGCTAAGTATTTTCTTATTAATGTTGCTTGTATTGCTAAATAATAATGGGAGGCTGTACACAGAAATTTTAAAATTTAATTTTTTTTTTTCCAAAGATAGTAGGATTGCCTTTTGATTTCAAACTATTTATTGAGAAACTCTGTTTTATACCATTTTTCATTAAGAAAATAAAACYTCAAACATTAGTGAAACCTCTTTATAATCAACTCTGCAAATTGCATATTGGAATTTATTCAAGTAAAGGTTGATGAACCCAGCAAAGAAAGTGATGATGTTTCCATTTCATGGTACTTATTTTGGCTATTTTAGCATCCATTCATAATATTTTAATTTCACTAACTCTGGTCGCGTTAAAACCTTACTTTAAGTGCCCAAGTCAGTAACTTGATTTCATTGCAGCTGTTTGTGTAAGTTCTGTTTTCCCATATTTCTCTGTCAAGTTGCATTTGTATGTTCAGCTCTCTGATTCATCTTAATTTTTGTACTGGCCATGTTCACATCTTGATTTTTCATTATAAAGATATTCAACTTTAAAGAGACACAACTCTTACATGTGGGGTTTAACACTTCTTTCTTTCCTTCTTTTTTTTCCCCATAGTTGTTTCCAGAATAATGTTGAGATCCATGTTGCACATATTCAGAGTGGTCTGAGCCAGATGGGAAATTTACATGCTTTTGCAGCTAATAACACCAACAGAGACTGAAAACTTCCTTTCAAGTGTACAGCAAGTAGTTCTGGAAAATCTTCCTTTCTATAGGCTTCACCAAATATCCTAACTGCCAGAAGATAAGGGAAATGAAAACCTCTCAGAAAGGACCCTTTTTAAATATATTATATTCGCTTCTTAAGAAAACCAGCATTACTGGCCAGCATTACATTAGATTTCTCCGTTTGTTATTCACATGCAGTAGTTTTGCTAACTGGTAATCTCTTAGTAATTGCATTGATTATAGTAAACTTGAAAGCATACTTTCATATAATTTGAACTTAGTTTTTAAAAGTTCAGATTAATTCTGCACACCTCTTGCTGTTGRATCTCCTGGTATGTTAGAAGTGCTGAAGAGGAAATGGCTCCAGTTAGTAGCCACATGGCAGGTCTTTGTTGTGTAAAGCTACACCTCTGTGTAGGTCTTGASAGCTGCCAGGTCAGCCTTTGGGAAGCCCGAACGTTCCTGATCTGAGGAAGCAGCAGCAGGATACAGTCAGCAAATATAAGCTGTAAACTGGAGGATGTTGGGCAGGTCTGTCGATCAGTCTGTGTCTGGAACTCTTTAATTTATCATAACTTATAGAAGGAGTCTAATGAAGGAATATAARAATGTAACTATTAACTTTCCAGAAAGAGATGGGTTATCGCTTTTTCCCTTCACACAGGGCAAAAGAAGTGCTTTAGGTGGTATTTTATATAAGTGACTGGTKAAACATATTGTTTTTCCAAACTCTTGTTTGTTTTGCACAAGTTTTAAATTAGGTTACTGGTTATTGAACAGTGCTCAACATCTATCAATAAGAAGATTTTTATAATTAAAGATAACCAGTGAGGTAAATTGCAAAAATAAGAATTGACAACCTGCCTATGAATACCTTTTGGAATGTTAATCTTGTAAAAAGTGTGTATTGGTTTGTTTAAATAGTCTTGTAAAGCTTCTGTGTAATGAATTGTTTCCAAATATGGATTTTCTGAGATAGCTGTAGAGATGTTTTTGATTCTTTTAGATGCCCCATTAAATAAGGTCTTTTATATGTTAATGTRTAAAGAATATGTAAACAGGATTATTTTCAATTTTAAAATTTTGTATAGTTTAAAGATGCTTCTGTATTCTGTGTTGGTATTGTGCCACTGCAAAACTTTAGTGCAGAGTTTATATTTAGCTAAATTTGTTCTGTTAATTAAGAGAAATGCATAAATCTTTTATTCTCAATGAAATTTGTAACTGAATAAATTGACCTATGAGAGTTGATATATTTCACAAAAATGCAAACTTTTTTGCAGATGGTCTCAGGTCATTTTTTTAAGAGAAGCTAATTGCTGAAAATGAAATGTTATGAGGACTAGGTGAGTAGCTGTTTTGAAAGATATTTAAAAACTTTACAAGGGATACTATAAAACAATGATAAACAGTAATTTAGCTGAGCTATCCAGGGAAATCTACCTCTCATAATGCAGTAGGCCATCGTGGTGGTGCCTGCAACTGCTTTTGTCATTATGTTACTCATTGTTTTGTGGTGTTACCATCTGGTTGATAAAGATAGAAAGGAGTCCTCTCCCACCACCTTCTTCATTTGATCAGAGAAAGGTGCCAAAGCCCAATTTAAGGTAGGTAAGTTTAGTCAGACAGGAACTATTCTGATCTACAGCTAACTCAGGAAAAAGGAMCCATCCCTTGCACTCCTATGCTCATCTGCCTGCTGTTCCCTGTGCCACACCTCTGCTGTGATCCCATCCTGTTCTGTTGGGACTCAAGCTCAGCTTATGCRCTGAATGTTTTTGAGCAGCTGGGCTTCCCAATACTAAACCACCAGCAGGGTAATTTGGCCCTGTTGATAGCAAGCATCCTAAATGGAGCAGGGAGAGAAGTTGTAGACCTCTCTACAAGAATGGTATTCACCAAAGAGGATTTGGGAGCCTGGTTTTCATGACAATCTTATTTCTTGCTGCACACAGAATACATCACAATAACCACCACACTCCAATCTCAAGTCTTAATTCCTTAGGTGTGATGGTTTTTACATGTGGATTCTTAAATATGTCTCCAACATATTTTGTGTTGTTGTAGGTTTTTTTAATTATTTCAGGGTAATGTAAGATCCATCATTTGTCATAAGCATACTTTCAGATGTCATTTGTCCCACTTATGTAGGCAATGTAAATATACACATCTCTTCTTTGAAAGGCTGCATTTCTTCTTGGGTACTGATATGTTGGGTCAGAGCTAATGCTGGATTTTGGTGAGTYGCAAATACAACTGCTTTTTGCTGAATGTGCCCTAAGCATAGCAGGAATATCAAGAACTTACTGCAGCTACTGTACCTGAAGTCTGCAGGAGCAGAACAAGTTACTTTGATTTATTATAGTCACTAAACTTGAATTTATCCTGAGCCCCCAAGAAACCTTGACCTCATTTTCTGTCTCTTCCTGCAAGTGCTTCTCTTCTGGGGTCTTCCTGACCCCCAACATAGCACCCAAGTCCACTTGGGAGAGATAGTGTTTGAGGTAGGTTGCTTGGGTTTTGTTTCATGTTTTTTATAAGGACAGCTCTGAGGACGTTTTGATGGAGAATACTAATCAGCAGTCCTGCTATGCCACTTCACCTTACCAACTTGCAGTCAAACTAGCATTCAGCTATCCCAGATCTCACAAGCACAGGTATGTTATGGGGTGGCACTGAGGGATTTTCTGCATTGTTAACCTTATTCTGTGGGGCATGGTTCCTGATATAGGATATTTCTGTCCCTGGTACATGGGTCATTTTTCCTATACTTTGGCATTYAGGTGCTCTTCCATAATTGATGCCTTACAACTTCCTCTGCTAGGTTCTGAAATATTATTTTGTAAGCAGGAAGAATTGGCCTTATCTTCAAAATACATACAGAGTAATATATCCTTCCTCAATAAATGGAATTACGGGAGAGACTTCTGTTATTACTAATTTTGCTGTTTTCAGTGCAGAGCCATTCAGCCAATTGTAAGCATCTTCTGTGTAGTCCCTGCCTAAAACTAAAGCACYTTTACAGTGTCCACAAAATACTCCTGTTTCTCCTAGTTTAGCATTAACCTTGGCTTGAGTGGTAGACTGGAGGCTTTTGTCTGAGCACTTGAAATTTGGGGGTTTATAGAACTTAGGCCATAAATTTCCATTTTCATTCAGGGATGGGGGTTTTGGCACAGATTTAAGACAAATACTGACAAGATAAGGTTTAAGGCAGTTATTATAAYTTGTCCTTTAGGCCCCTTAGGTTTCTCATTGACATCTAAACTGCAGTCGTGGCTCTCAAGGACCTGGGAAAAGAACCTGCAGCTGGGATATCTACCACTTCTCTACCCGCTGTCAGCCAAGGTAAGAAACCTTGCCACTGCACCAGGTACACACACAAGCATAGCAAAAATGTAAACCTTTATTTTATTTTCCTTGGTCAAAAAATCCTAACAGACCATCCCACTCTTTTCTCAAACCAGGCCCCGCCCCCAAAACACAGTGGATTGGGTTAGCTTTTTGGCTAAAGAAGGTTAAATAGACATACGAAACACACTAACAGAAAGCTTTARATACAGTGTAAAAAGATGCCCTCAGCTGATGGAGCCGACCCGTATCTTAAATAAATAGGTAGAATCAGTTACTACCGGATAAAGTGCAAGTGGCAGAGCAGCAGTGGTGAGGTAGCACGGTGTGTGACTGCTCCCCGCCCGAGCAGCGCACCGCGGGACGGGGTCCGGCGGGGAGGGCTTCGCAGGGCGGCCGGGGATGCGCCTTYAACCTGTCCCCTGCCCGGGCCGCGTCCCGCCGCGGCGGCGCTCAGAGGGCGCGGAAGGCACCGAGCGCGTTCTCCTCCCACTCCGAGCCCGACTCCGAGTAGCCGCTGGTGTCCTCGGCGTCCGACACAGGCGAGTACTGCCCGCAGAAGGCGCGGGCCGGCGGGAAGGGGCCGGCGGCGCTCCCCGCGAACGGGGCGGGCTCGGCCCCGCCAGGCTGGGCGGGTGGGAAGCCCTCGAAGCCGGGRCCGGCGGGGAAACCGGCGGCCGGCGGCCACGCGTAAGGGGCCGAGCCCTCCTCCGTCCGGGCCACCCCGGAGAGGGCGCAGCGGGGCCGCTCCGGGGCGCGCAGGGCGGCGAAGCGGGGCGGCCGCGGGCAGCCCGGCGACGGCGGCGCAGCGGGGCCGAGGCGGGGCGGACCCCGCTGGCGGCGGGACTTGGCGCGGCGGTTCTGGAACCAGACCTGCGGAGAGAAGGCGGCGGTGAGCGCGGCGGGGCGGCCCCGGCGGTGAGCGCGGCACAGCCCGCGCCCCTCACCTGGATGCGCGACTCGGGGATCTGCGTGGCGTCGGCCAGTTTCTCCCGCAGGTAGATGTCGGGGTACATGGTGTCCTGGAAAACCAGYTCCAGCGTCTCCAGCTGCGCCGCCGTGAAGCTGGTCCGCTTCCGACGCTGCGAGGCCGCCGGCGCCCCCTCGGAAGGCTCCGCCGGGGGAAGCGCCCTCAGGGCGGGCGAGGCCGGGCCGGGCCCGCCGCCCCCTGCCCACCTGCCCGAGGGGAAGGCGGGCGGCTCCGCCGGGGGCTCCCCGAAGTGCAGCGATGCCATGGCAGCGGCGAGGAGGGGTCCCGTCTGTCCCGCCGCTCTTTATAGCCGGGGAGGGGGGCTCGGCAGGGGCGGGGGTTCGAGGGGGCGGCACGGCCCCGCGGGGAAGGTGAGCTCCGGGCACCCCGCCGGGCCCCGCGCCCCGGGCTGCGGTCAGCTGCCCGACTCGGACGGCCCCTGCTTTGCTCAGCCCAGAGGACTCAGCTTCGGCCGGGCACCTCAGCCCTACACGTGCCCAACGGGGATGGGTGATGKCTGGCAGCCCTTGACCCCCTGYATGAAACATGGACAACMGAAGGGAGAGGGRAGCAGSCTTTGCATCCACCCTCCGTGGACARAACAACTGGGTGTTGGGAGTTTGGTACTCCGGGGAGGATCCAGTCCAGCGGCTGGGTTATTTCTGATASAACATCTCTGCTGAGAAGGGGTTATGGAGTTCACTTCCTCCGGCTATTGGTGTGGCAGTAGATGTCCTCAAGCATGTATCTGCTTTGGCAGGTAATGGATGGTGCATGGTGCGAGACATACAGCAAACAGATGTTATCTTTTCCCGTGGCCACAACTTGTCTGCTTGCAGTGCTTCGCTGCCAGCTGGGCAGGCGGTGTGCGACCTCCTGCTGTGTCTGCTGCTGCAAAAGCATCTCTTTCTTTTTAAGATGCAAGTTAAATGCACCTGGAGAGCCACAGCAGCTCAGACAGGACAGAGGCAGACATTGGTGTCATCACCTTTTCCACCACTTGTTAATGCCTTTCCACATCACACTTGCACATCCCGTGCACCTCTGCCATAACTGTTTCCCAGACAGAAAGGTCTCATGCTGAAACGCTGCCCGTACATCCCAACAACACCAAAACACTTCAATTGGTTTGTCCTTGTTTTTGCGTTATACAACTGTCTCCCAAGAAAAGTAACTTTGTATAGAAAATTGTGTTGAAATTGTTAAAAGCTGGTTTGGGAAGTTTTATTCCTAGAACATGTGTATCTTTGTGCATAAGTGCTTTCATGCCTGAAGGATCTAGGTTGTTCCCAGAATTATGGCCTGCAGTCAGCAGTCAGAAACATGAGACTTGTACAGTGTTATCAATTACCAGTGTAAGGAGASGGCACAGTGGTGAGAAAGGTTGAGTCAGCTGGCACAGGTGAGTGGTGACCCAGAAAACACAGACAGCATCATTTAAGGCTTTTAGTAAAAGACTTGTGGAGGGTTGAATTACTCTGCAGATTCTGTGCAGATTTAGAAGATGCCACAGGTGGCAGCAAAAGAGAATTATTCGAGATTACATTTGCATGATGAATGTTTTACTGTATTTTACATCAAATAGTATTCCTGGAAAACATAGCAGAGGTTTCTTTTCTATGCAATAAACAATAGAGATGTAGCATCCTTCARGTTACTGAAAGATTTAATCCTGCTTCAAATTGTGCCATTATAGGAATATTKACTTTAGTTTCTAAGATTTGGTTAAAGTTGATTAAGTCTGCSAGACAGAGAGAGCAGGTTTTTGAGGAAATGTGTTTTTTCACACACATAATGTGTTGTTCTTTCAGCAGCAGCTTGGTCTTAAGGAGCTGCTGACACCACAGGCCCCTCACTGTTCACCCCCATCCTGATGCCTTCCCTTTAGCTGACCCTGTCWTAGTTGTGTGCCAGTCAACACAGTGTGATCAGGGAATTAACCCAAGTTAATTTAACTGTATAGTAACAGCAGCTGTGGTTTGGGGTGTTTTTTATCCAGATCTGGGATTCCCACCTGTGGGTTACCAGCAGCCCCTGGGATGGCTGTACAAATGAGAGGATACTGCCAGATGGGGCAGGAGAGAAATGGGGGGATCCCTCTGAGATGCTTCTAGGGCTGACACCACCTGGATCTGAGGCTGAGCTAGCAGAGAACAAAACTGAGACAGACTGCCCAGGAGCAAAGTGGTTTTCAGTGTCAGACTTCCCATTAAGATGACTTTCAATGTATATTGAATAGCTACTCAGCAAAGTGTGAGTACTGGGAGCTAATAGACCTGTTCCCAACTCATAAATCTGAAAATGGRCTGACTCTTTGATCTCTGACTGCTGTGACATCCTTCAAGCCAAAAGCCTTCTCGGTTCCCTTGCCCTTTATGGTTCCAGAGGTGTTCCAATAGCTGTCTTGTGACAGCAGCTGACACACTTCCCRTGGTGAGGAAAAGAATGGTGAGACTTCCCAGGCCTGAAAGCTTTCATTAGGAGATGCAGATGTAACAATTATAGCCTTATAAAAAGTCTACATCATTACAATGGAAAGAAAATAAACTTCCACACACTACATTTGGTGCAATCTATGTTGTACATGAGTGCAGCGTGACTGCTGGCTCTGCAGTGTGGAATAGGAAGCCCGTGTGRCAGGATTGTGGGCAAAACTGTCGATGCCCTTCGTGCAGCTCAGGATCACACACACAGGCTCCAGGGTGTGGGGTTCACACTCAGTCTTTTCATTACAATTCCATTTTCTAGCAGACGTACCTGTGAGTGGCTGAGACCTCAGGACGGGGTCAGGCTGTGTTGTCTGTCTGCAGGTGCTGACTTCTGTGTAATTCTAGTCTGCCTCAGTTTCCCTTTCTGTGCTGGCTGGCTGTTACCAGCATGTTCATATATCCTTTTCTGCTTAACAGTGGTATGTGCTTTAGCAAAGGTAAAGCAATTCTGAAGCAAGACCAGAGCCTAGGAATCATATTTTCCCTTTCCTGTTACTCAGASCCTCTCACACTGATTTTGTCCTGGGATCTTCATGGTCACCCTTCTGCATTGGCTTGGTTTGAAACACATCTAWGGTTGAAGAAAAGCAAGGGGGACAKTATTCTGATTGTAAAGGGGTGTGCTGTTGGGTAGAGATCAGAATAGGAGGCAAAAGCAGGCAAACAGGATGGCATAAAAGACAGATCTAGATCTTTGCTTCCTTCTGATAGTTCTCTCCCCTCCCAATGCTGGCACACTTCTCCACAGCTCCCACAGTGTCATCCTGCTGATGTCCTAAAAGCCATGCCTGTGGGGTRGTGCAGTGAGCCTCCTGCAGAAAGGACAAAGTCCTGTGTCTGGACTCAGCAGAGTTTCCTTTCCCTTAAGAAGTAGTTTTCCATCCTGCTGTGCCCCTTGTAGTCTGACAAGGAAGTTTCTGATGCCTTGTAGGTAGGTGCCAGCATGTGCATGGAGTCATACCTGGGTAAGGGCTGGAAGCTTTAAGAAGACATTTGATTTTGTCCCTCCTGTTCTGCAGACCTGCTTTTATTTGTGTCCCACCAAGGGACAAATGGGGATTCTGTGTCTTCCCTCAAGAAGAAGAAGCTATGGCAAAATTCCAGAAGTGACTTGCTTTTTTAAATTAAGATGGCTAAAACTGAGAGAGATGTCTCTYAGAGAAAAGCAGAATGCCTTGTGTTGATATCAAAAATTACAGTCTGCTTCAGAGGCTGCTTGCATTGATCTTCGCTCTGTTTGTCAAGAGAGAAACTTCTTGTGCTTTTGTCTGTGCTGGGAGTACCTCAGCACTGAGAAACCTGTGTCAAGAGGACTGACAATATAAAATGTGCCTGTACTTGCAATAAAATGGTTTTAAGTTTCAGCTGGAGARCATGGTTTCACATCACTGCTGCCAGCCCTGTGCATCCAGCAAGGATAAGACAGGCTGTAAAACACCAAGATTGTGGAGAGGTAGCGGGGGAAAGGCCCAGTGTGGAGCTTTTGGMCAGCTGGCTCTTCAGCCTTTTGCATGTCAAGCTGTGGAGATTCTCTCAGGCTCTTGGGGCTACAAAGTCATCTTTTAAATGTACATTATAAGATCCTGCCTTATGTGAGTTGAGGAACTGCAGCYTGGAAAGCATTCCAGAATGTATGGCAAGAATAGGCAGCAGTGTGACATCCAGTCATGACTGCTGACAAGACAAACACACCCCKTAGATAACTAACATATGAGCACAGTCCTGGAGGGAATGGGACACCAGGGGTTTTGCCATGCAGTGATTTGCAACCAGCAGTGCAGCCTTGGCTGTGTTCAAATTCCTCTGGCTTGTCACTTCACCTTGTTCCTTCTAGGATTCTTCAGGGACACAGCTCTTTGCACAGTATTTTGTCATTCTAGCAAAGCTTATTGTTTTTCTCTTTTTGGTGGCTGTCTGTAACATGAATTCTCTGGTCTTTAAACCCAAGATTGAGRTTTTTAGTGGTGGAGGTTTAGCTGTCTCTTGTCAACCTGACTAAATTTGTAAAGATTTGGTATCTTGGAGATCTTCATTTCTACCTCAGTTTTGACTGAAATTGGCCAAAAAGTTCAAATTTTATCAAAGAATCATAGAAAGGTTTGGGTTGGAAGGGACCTTAAAGATCATCTTGTTCTAACCCCCTGCCATGGGCAGGGATGTCTTCCACTAGACCAGATTGCTCAGAGCCTCATCCAGCCTGGTTTTGAACACTCCCAGGAATGGGGCATTCACAATTTCCCTGGACATCTTGTGCCAGGGCCTCATGATCCTCATAGTAAAGAATTTCTTCCTAATGCCTAATCTAAACCTATTCTCAATTTGAAACCATTTACCCTTGTCCTGACTACCCTTGTCCTGACACACCCTTGTAAAAAGTCTCTCTCCATATGTTTGGAAACTGACCAAGAAAAGGGACAGTGGTCACAGAAACCTGATTTCATTAATGTAGAGGAAGTTTTAAAAAAAACTACATTTTTGCTGTTAAGACTTATGTTTAAGTTACCCCTAGAGAAGCAATCCCTGGATAATTACTTCACAAATTGAATTAATTGTAGTCCAGACACGTTTTTATGGTTGCGTGTATAACTGCGTTTGCTCCAGAGCTTCTGATGGCAGAAAAATGCCGTGTAATTTCCAGCTTCTCTTAGCAGGGCCTTGATAGCAAAAATTGTTAATGCGTGCACAGCTTAGGTTTTGAGGTTTTTTCATTCTGCCTAAGAGGAAATCTTTRTATGAATACTTAATTTCCCTTTGATTGCTTCTAGTCATTGTGACAAAGCTCTTTACAGCCTACGAAAACTTTTAGAGGTTTATCAGGTC